CAAAGGATAGAGTATCGATGCCACGCCTTGAAGGACATGGTGGTGGCTCGATGTGACCGAGTAACGATGTTGAAGACCATGGCTGCAACATCCATGTTTCAGCGACGCAAAGGGGCATGTCAACAGAGAACTCGACTACCTCATCGAGGTGCAGTAGGAGCTTGGCGAGCTGCGGCAGTTGGCATGCTCCAACAGGGTTGGCATACCCGAACCTCGTCGGGGACTACATTGGACCTTCGCATGGCAATACTATTATGGCTGGTCAGCAGCAGGATGACCGGTTATGCTCTAATAAAATGAAGCAACAGCTCAACATGGCACATATTATGGCTGCAAAGACTGTTTGCAGCAATCTAGCAACCATGTGGGCATGCATGTCTGACCTGCAGCCTCAGCTGACCATCCACAAAGATTCACCATTGACAAGTTGAAGTTGCATTCTGGGGTGGTGGAGCTACTGGAGGGTCACTGATGTTTCGCTCAGGCGAAGTAGCGACTCAGCATGGCCTGACTTGCAACTGCAACCTACTGTACCTCGACAATACGCACCGACGGCTTGGCATAACTCGTAAAGAGTGGGTAGCGCCACACACTAACATTTCGTAACCATCGAGCAGTAACGAAGGAGCTAATGTACCTACGAGATCTGTCATATCACATGCTTCAACAAGACCGCAAAATTTCCAAAGGAAAGCAGATGGACACAACCACCTATCAGGGAAGTATCTTCATTAAAATCATTATGTTTCTATTACTTACATGATTGATCACATAAGCATGACAATAACTCGATACGTTCGAGGGTTAATTTGGCAATGCATAAAATGATAGCTAGGCTGGTCAAGAATATAGAACCACTTACAATAAGATTGAATGAAGGTGTTTATCAACACAATCCTAGATCATGCTCGATCACTAAATCATCAGTACCGTGCTCGATTGTATCGGCTTATTGTGTCTCCTCATTTTTTATCATCCTCTATCATTCTCCATTGTTCTCTATTATGCCTAACCTTGTTGGCCTGTTATGCCTCTCATTCTCCACCATTCTCTACTATATCTAGTCTCACCGGCCAATTGCACCTTCTCGTTCAATGTCATTCTCCGTTGTTTTCCATCGTGCTCGACCTCCTTAGCCCTTTGTGCATCAAATTTTCGTTGCACGCTTAGCCTTGTCGATCAATTGCGCACCATATTGTACAATGTTGCGTCCAGCCTTATCAGCCCACAATGTGCCACTTGTTTGGATTGTGGCACAACTAATAATGTTAGACTAATTCTTCTTCAACCTAATTCTATTACATTCCTTAGCTCTAGAAGGGGGGGGGGGGGGAGACCACTTCAACAATCATCCTCCCTAATCACCATTGATCACGAGAGCAATTGTTTAAGGAATCCACTATAAAAGGGCTCCTTAGGCATATATTTAGATACTTTTTCTAACGCTATTCAAGTCATTGATAGGATCATCTCTAACTTAAATATCAGAAGGATATTTGTTAGAAACGCCTCTATGTAGTTTTGCAGGGTTCGATCGTCTTAGAGTCAGATGAGTTCAATACTTCGAGATTGGACGAACGTGGTGTTAGCCAAGATTGGCTTGATTGTTTTGGTAATTGTATCAACTTCCTTTTGCTCTATGATAAAGTGTTACCTTTTTGAATCAACACGATCAAGCTTTCAAAATTATTCTCGGGTATGAATGTTGAGGTTAAGTACATTAAGTTTTCACTTGCTATTCAAATTAGAGAGAGTTTATGAAAGGAACAAAATACTATTGTAAAGAATACCCTAGTAAGAGAGAGCTTACGAGAGTATTATGATTGCTTAATAAATTGATATAAGAAAGATCGAGAAGTTTAGGGGTATTACTAAATTTTTTGAGTTTTTTTTTTCAAAATTGCTTCAACTAATTAATATTTACCCCTTGGAATGGGAATGTTTATTTTTTATTTTTTAAATTATAAAATGATTAAGATATCCATTGAGTCTCAGCTTGAGCTGTTGGGTCCCTCAAATGATCAGTCAATGATCAACTTTGATCGTTGGCCAATTTTTTTTCTTAATAATCAATCGATTTAAACTGATATTAAATTAAAATTATTATTTTCCATTCCAATTCCGAGTCAGTCCAAAACCAATAAACCATTAGACCTATAAATCACTACAGTGCTTCCCAGTTTCCTCAGTCTCGTAGATTGAGTTCATATATATATATATATTAATGGTGGGAGATGGTTACACCACAGCTACTGCTCGGTAGGAAGTGGTAATGGCACTTTGGACCACGATAAATAGGCGTCTAAAGCTGACACAGGCCTATTTCTGCCGACAGCCGCATGCGCCTGTTTCCATCTCTTGTTTCCGGTGGCTGGCCGCCCTCTCCCAGTAAAAGAATCATACCACCACACGATTAAATGAGCTGTGGGCAACATCTCGCTACCCGGTGGAAACTGCCGGTGACAGGTCTCGAGCCCTTCTGCCTCGATGTCTCGTGCAGGTCCAGGTGCCTTTCCATTAATCATTCTGATGGAACCAAACCAACTATTAATTTGGAGTCAGTACTTATCATGGAAAAGACCAAAGACAAGTACAAGGCTAAGCAGAAGTTTCGTCTAATGGAAGTCCTCTCTCTTTCCATCACCATCTGATTCCACCGACTGCCGGAATCGATTGACGAACGTTTTCCTGCATCCGAGCAATTAAAAGGTCTGTCACCGGAGAACAATGTAACCAACAATATAATAAGAATGAGTGTCGTCCTCAAATTACAGAAAGCTAATTCGTTCATTTTAAGAGAGTGATTTTTCTTGGTGGCGCGAGTTGAATGATGAGATTAGGGAACAAAAGAAGCAGCTTTATGTTCCCTCCTCATGCGACTCGTCGCCGGCAATTGCGGCAGCTTTAAGTCCTCCGGTGGAGAGCTTTACTCCTCGATCTTAGCCTTCTTTCTCTGCTCTGTGGCAAAAGAGAAGGAAAATAATTGCTCCGGTATCAGATACGAAATATTCCTTCCTCGCATGACCTGTCCAACGGAAAAAGCTCAATACCGAAAGATAAAAGGTTGTGGTCAGCACGAAGAGAACCACTCGACGGAGCCATCCTTCTCAGAAACATTTCGTCGAACACCCGTCCGACACTCGATCATGGTCTTCATGCGTCGGATTAGGCAAAATGTCACTGACACACGATCATCATACCCAAAATTAAAATAATCGTTATCCAGTACCATATGTTATCAATGGCCGTCGCCCTCCATCAGCAACCCCAACATCCATTACCCATTGCTGCTGCAATCGTCCCATTCCTTCCTTCACCGTCGCTGTCGCTTCATTATTGCTTCCCGTCATCGCTAGTCTTGGATTTAATACCGTTCATCGCCGACAGGTCCCATCCATCATTTCAGACCATTCACCGTCCACCTTCCGAACCCATCGTCCTGGCTAACCCGTTGATCCACTTCTATTCGCATCCGTGAATTATCCTTTTAGGAACACGTCGGTCGAGCAAAATCGAAGATGATTAGGTTCCCGAGCAAGAACAGCAATGTCAGGAGAAGGAGACGAACGAATTGGTGGACCAGCATGGTGTCCAGTTGCTTTACTCGCTGTCTTCTTCTTTGATGCAGCTGGCGCGGCCGGCCGCGTGGGTACTGTGTTAGTCACCCCTGACGGGACTTCATGGGTCGACGTCATTCCCGCAGGAAGGAGGATCGAAACCCGCCGCGTCATCCATGGAGCGACTCCCGGGGTGATTCGGCTTGCTTCTCACGATGCTGCATAAAATGGAAAGGGATTTCGGCTCTCAAGTCTCAACCGATAACATCCAAACTAGCATTATTAATCGGATAGAGAGTATTCAAATATGTACACAATTCAATTTAATTTCAGATGGGGATAGAAAGCAATAAACAACTATGTATTTGTCTTTGTCCAATCACAATTACAGTTCCACTGGCAAGTCTGTCAGTACAACTTCTTCTGGGAATGAAAGTACTAACATGTTCGGATTAAAAAACACGTCCGATGTGTTTTAGTATTAAAGTATGAGGATGGAGGATTAAAAAAATCAGTATCGTAATTTTTTATTGGTGCAATTATTATGATTCCCCGATTAATTTAGAGATGAGCTACCAAACACCACCACTACTTGTTCCGGACTCCTAATCCATGTGAGAATAACTTTTCATTAATTATATATATATATATATATATATATATATATATATATATATATATGTGTATATATGGTGTTATTTTACGAGGAATTGATAAATTTATTACGATAATTGTAAGATCGTTAGTAAAAGCGAGTCGGTACATACGTCGGATCAATTTTAATTTTATTAGATTCAAGATATCTTTACTCTTCAATTTTGAGTTAATCTATTAATTTTTTATTTTAATATTTCGAAACTACTTAGCATCAATTTAAATATCTTATCGGAGTAATCTGAAAAATAAATTCGAATCTGAATATTTCGTTAGTTTTTTAAAATATTCAGATTCGGTGCCGCTTATGGCCGCTAAATAAAAACAAGAAAACAGACGTCAGCTTCGCGTTGAAGTTGACCGACGACGGATCGATGCACACCAGTCTTTCTCTTCTGACATCGCCGCTCGTGTTTGTGGCAAATCTAGTTCTTAGATTTCTTTTCCCCGGAGACAAATCTTGCCGACACGTTGATAGATACGTCATGGATCGAAGGTTTTGTCCAACGATTCCTAGATTAATATTAGATTAGCATCCTTCATTTCTTGTAATGGGCTGTTTCTATAGCATTGGCTTAAAGACGGAATGAAGGGTGTGGTTAGAGCGCAAAAGGCTTTGGAATTGTGGGGCCCAGAGGCATGCCACCAATGACCGCTCGCCGAGTCATGGCCCGTCGTCGGCCGTGACCTACACTTATTGGCCATCAATGCCGCGGTGGGGCCGGGTCACCTCATGATCGGAGACGATAGAGCCCACGTTGCCGCGTGAGACGAAGGAGGGGACGGCGATTTGTGGTGGAGGCGGTGGACTCGTGCAGCAATTGGATCGAACTATACCAACGAGTCGAGACGTGGTGACCACCTAGCTCATAAGGAGCCAACGACGGCAGCGGCAGCTGCTGCAGCGCAATGATTCCTTCCTTCCTTTCGCTGCGGTCTATTAACTGGCCATCAATCATGTAGTGTCTTTCCCCCATTCCATGGAGTGTTAGCGACATCCGCCAGCTCCTTCCACGGAGCAGATCAAGCCATGCTCTCGTTGACGGAAGCACGCCTCTGGTAGCAGCAGCCCCGCCGAGACGGGAAAGGTTGCCATCTTTTCCTTCTATTTCCGCCCCTCCTCCTGGTCTTCTTCCCTTGCCATGAAGCCTTCCCCCGCCGTCTCCCTCTTCGGCGCCAAGGCGGCGGACTCCGCCATCCGCCGGTGGCTCTCCCCGCTCCTCTTCCTCGCCGTCGTCGCCCTCTCCGTCTCCCTGCTCTACTTCGCCGCCACGCCAGCCGTCTCCTTCCCCCCGATGACGACGGTCCGGGTGGAACTCAGCCCTCCAGTCGCCGTGTGGCAGCCGGTCGGCGCTGCCGAAGCCTCCGACCCGATTTCGCGCTCCTCTCTTCCGCCCGTGCAGAGGCCGGTCGACGCTGCCGTCGCTTCCGACCCGGAACCGATTTCCTCTGCTCCATCTGTGCAGAATATGCCAGTGCGTTCGTCTACTGTAGTTTCACTAGGATAGCACATCGATCCGTGTCCTGATCTGATGGAATGGCGCTGTCGCTGTTGCTGCAGGAAAGCCAGGATGTCAAGCTGGAGAGGGTGCTCAAGGCAGCGGCCACCGAAGACAATACTGTAATACTGACCTCCTTGAATGCTTTCTGGGCTTCTCCCGGATCCGTGCTGGATCTCTTCCTGGAGAGCTTCCGCATCGGCAACGGGACCAGCGAGCTCCTGAGCCACCTGGTGATCGTCGCCGTGGACGACAAGGCGTACGGGCGGTGCCTCGCCATCCACCCGCACTGCTTCCACCTCAAGACCGAGGGGGTGGACTACTCCGGCGAGAAGGTGTTCAACACTCCCGAGTACCTGGACATGATGTGGGCGAGGCTGGACTTCCTACGCCTGATTCTGGAGAAGGGATACAACTTCATCTTCTCGGTGAGTTTGCTCTCTCCTTCGTCAATCCATGGACTCATGTGATTGGCACTCAGCCTGCAATTCGATGCGTTAGAAAAATCCATACTATGTTTACCCATCGAACGTACCGTATTCTAGCTGGCTGCAGCTTTACCTGCAAGTGGGTCCCGATCCGACATCTCTAATCACGAAGCAGGTAGCCGAGTCGGTATTGCGTAGAAGAGTAGAACAATTAACTACTCTGAGCTATGGTGTACCTGTGGAAGGCTAATCAAGAACAACATGGAATCCCAATTATCATTAGTTTTGTCCATTAAAATTTCTTATTTTGGCATCAAGGATGTTGAAACTATTACTGATTTGAGACCTTTTTAGATCTTAAACATTGAAGTCAATGCCCAATTACAAAGATGTAACCTTCGGCACATAGTCCTCGTTTACATAATTTAGGATAGCCAGGCTTTGTAGTCATCTAAGGATTAGCTTCAAAGGTTTACTAGACATGCAGAATATATAGCTCTGCCTTTGGAAGATAATTAGTTGCCTCTCTGCACTTGACTGGTGATTCTAGTGATGCAGAAATCCAAAGTTTGTTGTCTTCTTTTGCAGGAGTTTCTTCGTTTCTTGTAGGGAGTAGGTTCTTTCCTTTTGACCTCCAGGAAAAAGCATGAAAAGGATGCCATCAATAGGGAATCTTAGTTTCTAATGTGGACAAAATAGGTCAGGCGACCAGAGTTAAAAGAGTCTCCTACAATTTAGATAAGGACTACTTTCCATCCAAAAATATTAATAAAAAGAATGCAAATGGTTTCATCTTTGATGATCCAGGCATGACTATGTCATGCTAAATCATATTAGCAGTTAATGTCTCATTCATATGCTAGTATCTTTTTAGACTTTGATTATTAGGTGATTTCTTTTGATGATTTTAGTGGAATAGGAATTCTTCATACTCTACATGCCATGTTTGCCGCCCTCATTTTCAAGTTGGTATTTGACATCAGAACAACATCATCTGAGCACTTGTACGGTTTGCTCATACTACAGGATGTAGACATCATGTGGTTCCGGAATCCGTTGCTCTACTTCTATACAGATGGAGATTTCCAAACATCCTGTGACAATTTCTTGGGGGATCCTACCAATCTCAAGAACTGGCCCAACAACGGATTCAACTACGTGAAGTCCAACAACCGAAGCATAGAATTCTACAAGTACTGGTACTCCTCGCGTGCCAGATTCCCCGGAGTTCATGAGCAGAATGTGTTTAACATCATCAAGTACGACCAACAGATTCAGCAGATTGGAGTGAGGATCAGATTCCTGAGCACCGAGCGCTTCGGTGGGTTCTGTGAGCCAAGCAGAGACCTCAATAAGGTCTGTACGATGCACGCAAACTGTTGTATCGGCTTACGCAGAAAGATCGATGATCTAAGAGCCATGCTTGATGATTGGAGGAAATTTGTGTCTCTGCCACCTGATACAAGGATATCTAGACGGTTCTCATGGAGTGTACCTCGAAGCTGCAGGTACAATATAAATCCTTATTACAATCGTTCAAAATCTTAGGCCTCATGTCATTCTGAATCATCTTGGCCTTCTGTCTTCCTGGTTTCTTTTTCTTCTTCTGCATTTCATCTCCTAGTTTGGCCACGGAACTTGAAGTAAGATTACAAATGTTGGAGTGCATAATTTTTTATGATTTGTAGTTCTTTTAGATAGGCTTTCCTGTATGGATTGGTATTAGGCAACTCCACACCGATGCATGTCTTCGATTAGCTCGATTGTATCTTCACTGTCCGTCGTGTACCATCAAAGTTGCAGATACTCCTTACAGTGTGTTTTGTATGGTTGCGTTGAATGATATGCCATTTTGCTAACGATGATCGAGTTTTTAGACCGATGAACCACAACCAATGTCGAATTAATGATATCGATATGCTTAGAATAGGATAGAACCCCCAAACTGTTAAGATGTGTAATTCTTCCATTGGGATGTTTCTTGGGACATTTTTATTATTTTGTTACGAGACATGATCGCTCACTTTGAATACATTTTTGTTTTCAGGTTATAACCACCAGGATTTGGCAGTAACAAGGAAAAGAAACATAGCCTATAAGATTCTATAACAGAGTGTTCATTTCATACTCTTTTCATACATGAATACCTCCCAATCATGTAAACCATGGAATCCATAAGACTGTAGAAGAAGGGAAAGAAGAAGGTTAGGCTGAAAGAAAAAGATGCTTAAATATGATCGGTGTCATTACTTGGCTGTTGTACAGAAAGTGTTTTAGCTGTAACATGAAAAGATCATCATCTCTGTCAATAGGAAAGATCATCTCTGTCAATAGGAAAGGCCACGAGAACTGTACTAAGTGAGCCTCATGAAGTCTATTGAAATACAAAGCAAAGTATTTGTACAGTTTTATTGAAAAAACTTGTAATAAAACTTGAATGTATTAATATGTTCCTCTTCTATTTATACAGATTAGGAGGAAGAATTTTCCTTAACAGAATAGAGAGATTTTCTTATATAATTAAAAAAATTTTAACTGCTATAAATTTGCATCATTGAGACTCCAATTCAGATGCATTGTTAGCTAATTACTAATATGATTCTTTCTGATGATTAAATAGTTAAAAGAATATTACTAATATGATTCTTTCTAATGATTAAATAGTTCAAAGAATATTCTATTAATGTATGTATGTATGTCTCTACTATTGATATCAAGAATATGACCTATGAAATAGGTAAGTGAATACGCCTAAGATAAAATTAAGCGATGTGGAGATTAAGGGATGTGAGGTCTGAGATAATTCCAACCATTATCATCCTTCACAAATACTTAATCTTAATCCCTCCAAACTTGAGTTTAGATTAGGTTATAAGTAATTGATTATTCTTCAAATATTTTGTGACAGAACCGAAGTTTTATGACAACATATAAGCAAAAGCTCTGCTCACGGCCAATGGATTCATCGAAGACTTTTTAGTAGGAGTTGACTCTGTTCTACTCGCCTTCTAAATCTTCGTTTTGTTTCCTCCCCTTCGGTTTATCCTTTTATTTAGGAATCACAAAAAAATTGTAAGGATATTTTCGTCAATTTAGTTTTTTTTTTCTTTTATCTATTCAATTTTCTTTTATATTATAAAGAGAAGCACGCACCACGCGGTCACTTGTTCCTCCTCTCGGGTCTATGCCTTCGGCGGCGAGGTTCCTCCTAACGAGCTCCGAACATGTGCCGCCGTCTCCGCCGCCGGAGCCGCTCTCAGTCGACATAGACTTGGTGGTGATCCTCGCCGCCCTTCTCTGCGCCGTGGTCTCCGTCACCGGGCTCGCCCTCGTTGCCCGCTGCGCCAGCTCCCGGCGCTCCCCTGGCGGCGGACGCCCGCAGGCGCCGCCAGACAAGGGCCTCAAGAAGAAGGCCTTGCGGGCGCTGCCGAGGGTGGCCTACGCAGCCGGCAGCGAGGGCCCGGCGGAGTGCCCGATCTGCCTGGCGGAGTTCGAGGAGGGGGACGAGCTCCGGGAGCTGCCGCAGTGCGGCCACGGGTTCCACGTCGGGTGCGTCGATGCGTGGCTCGCCTCCCACCCGAGCTGCCCATCCTGCCGCCGGGCGCTCGTCGTCGCCGCACCACCGTCCAGGTGACGGGTGCGGTGCGACCTCCGTCGACGTCGCCACGGCGGCGGCGAGGGGAGACGGTGACGCCAGCGTGTTTGGATGGAGGATCGCTTTCTGCTTGTCCTAAGCGAGTTTGGAGTGACTACTTACTTGTATTATGTAAATTGGAAGTAGGATCGTGTAAAAAGAACAGAAATTAAGGAAAAAATCTCCCCAAAAAAATCAACTGTTTTGATTCATGAAACGCAAGTGGTGGCTGATGGCGACGGACAAGTTTTGGATATCGTGGGTCCGTCTCCTGTTGTGGATCAAATGTTTCGACTACCTCGAAATCTCGGATAAGGATCGAACATATGGACATTATTCCTTATCGAACTCGGCACGCCTCTCGTCAGGGGATGCATCCATCGGCGCGAATCATAAAGCACCTGCGACCTCGATGCTCGTGAACGGGTCTGTGGTACCTACCTAAGACGGCCTTTCCTCTGTATCTCGTAGCTATATATATATATATATATATATATATATATATATATATGCAACATGTTAATGTGGGAGTAAACAAAATGAGTGCTGTTTGTTATGTATATATATTAATCACCAACTTACACACTGATGATATATAACCCCTGAATCGTATTACATAAAGCTAGAAGAGAGCACGCATATATCAAATGAAATCACAACATCGAACTATATACTATCGCTAAGGAATATGACATTTGGGTTTCGAACAGGTTTGAGCCACGCACCCTTCGTGAGCCTCGAAGTAATGCTCCAGATCAGATCATGGCCCCTCTTTGCTTGCATCTGCTTCGCTCTTCTCCCTGCTTTCCCCAGCCCATTCTCCACAAGCCACTGCATCGCCGTTAGTCTTTGTTTCTCCCCGTCCCACGTACTCCTCTTCCTGTTGGAGCTCAACTTGACACCTCCAACGTGAAGACTAACCAATTTGAATCTCCTTTCTTCGTCTGGTTGGTCGTCATCCGATGCTGCTGCTTGCACCACAGCTATCATGGGAGCCCCCACCGCTTCATTCCTCCTTAATGGGTCTCTCAGCTGAATCACCACCAACATTGTCATATGACGGCTCGTGCTGCAAGTTATCAACCAATCCTCGAGAGAAATGGCCGAGTCCAGCGGGTTGCCGGCGTCGTCATTTCCGATAACAGGGGAGACTTCCTCCGAGGGAGCAACTTCTGCTTCTTCGTCAGCCATGTCTGCCTGGACTTTGAGTGCTTCGACTGCCATAGCCTCCATCCTCTGCAACGACAAGGCCAAGATTTCGTCCGCGGTGACTGGTTCATCGTTCACGCTCCAGGTTCCTGTCAAGGTCCTCTCCTTCCTGCCTTTGTTCGTTGCTGCTGCCATCTTCCTAACTATCGTGATTGACCTGGCTGCACTGGAGCTTGCTCCTTCCTTATTCCTGCCACTTATTATGGCGGACGCGACGCCCTCGAACGCGATCTGTTCTGCTGTTTTGCCGAGCAGTTCGTCCATCGCCGTTTGCGAGAGTAATCTGGAAACCATTTCTTCTGATCCCATTGCGGCCAGCCTCTGGAACAATTGAAGCTCACTTGCTTGCTTCTCATCCTCCACGATCACCTCTCTAGAAATCTGCATGGCCAGTTTTGGGGTCTCTTTTCTTGTCACTTGTACATTGAAAGGATTCATGGAAACTAAGTAGCCTCCGTCCCTCGTCTGAACCACTGAACCCAAGCTTTTTCCAAGATCTGGAACGAGAATCTTTTCCTCCTCGTCCTTGACAACCTCTTTTGCTCCATGATCTGATGAAGTGACAAGATCTAGGCCATCGTACTTCGGCTCTTTACCATCTTCAAACTCGAGCATCCGGACGAACTCTCTTGTCACTATTTCCTCCTCGGTGTCCAATCTCTGGAACTTGTCTTCTTGAGTTGTCTTTACTAGATCGGCACCACCGTCTATCATTATCAGTTCAAGAGCCTTGATCTCTTTCGCGATTACATGAAGCTCTTTTAGCCTACTCCATTGAGCACGGTCGTGCACCACCTCTTTTACGACCTCGCTTGAAACTGATGACACCTCTGTGGCGTCCTCTGGTATCACTTCTTCCAACTCCACTTTCTCTTCATGAATCTCTATTCCCTTGTCAATAACTTCAAAGTCTGGAAGGTTAGGATCTTCCTCCCTGGGGTATGGCTTAGCCTTTTGCACAACTGGAGGGATTGAAGGACGGAGACCAGGCCCATGATCAAGACCGAAATCTTTAGTTTCCTCCACTTTTCTCACGGAGCTGGTGTTTGAAGGTATGGTAGACTGGCCTCCTCTAAGTGCAACACTGAAGGAAGACTTTGATTGTTTCCTTGGGACAGAAAAATTGGAATCCTTCTCATTGTTTGATCTTATTTTCTCTGCTTGGTTATAGATCCCGATACCTCCGTCTTCCATGATTTGGAACGCCAACTTGAGAATCATTTCTCCTCCTTTAGCCTTCCCAGACAGGGGGAAGGCTAGATCCCACTGCCGGATGCGTTGTCCCTCCAAGTTCTTCTGGATGGACTCTTTGACCAGTAAACTCAAGTCAACGATACTCCTTCCGAGATCAATCTGAGGAACGTCGACTGCTACCGTTGAGATCAGGAATGGTCGGGCCTCGAACTCGAGCGGCTTCCCTGCGGCCGCGCCACCTCTGCAGTAGAGGTGGCATCGGACGAACAGTGTCTCTTCAAAGTCAGCACACCCTTCGAGCACCCGGGAGGGCATCGTTTGCACAGCGCCATCCTTGGTCTCCTTCTTGCGAACGGCAACCGAGAGACGTAGCCCGTCCATCGAGGTCGGCAGATGTTGAATCGCGATAACCTCGACGGAGAACAGGCATACCAATCGATGCATGGCGATGTGAGCCAAGGCACGCATCGGCTTCCAGCTCCATATCCCCCGCTTCTCACCGGGGTCAGGTTCCAACGTATGCTCCCTCTTCACGGGCGTGCGGTGGCGGCCGCCGTCAGCATCATCTCCGTCAAGGTCGTGTTGGGGATTCCAGCCCAAGTGCCAGGGGAAACGGGACGGGTGGCGAGAGGAGTGGTTGCGGCGGTCGGACCGAGCCGCTTCGTTGACGAGGCGGGGCCCATCATCGGCGGCCGGAGCTGTATAAGAGGAGCGGGGGAGAACGAGGGAGGTGGTGCGGCGAGAAGTGTGGGATTTGGAGAGTGATCTGCTCAGGCGTTCAAGCTCTTGGAGGATTTGCATGTTGGCGTCTGCCTCTCCAGCATGTGCTGCCATCGATGGAGGAGGCGCAGAACTCGTCATGGTCGTAATGGCGCTTGGCTCGCCAAGAAGTGTCAAGGGTTTCGAATGGAATGGGAAGAAGGCCTAGAAGCTGCCAAGAACGAGAGTCGGAGCTCCGGATGAAGAATGGAATGAATGGAGAAGGTGAGAGGAACGCGGCCACCATTACCTTTAACGACTCTCTCTATATAAAAAGCTCGGTCTATTGACGGTGATGGCGTCTGATCAGGTGACCTGACGACGTTGGCATAGTGAGGAAGCTTACGGGAGCCACGTAGAGGAAGTAGTACATGCATTTCATTTACTACGAGTAACGGCTGAGAATACTACCACGTGGCATGGAGTGGTCCACTTGATCGAGTGGGAGGGAAGCCCCTTGGTGCCGGGTCGGTCAAGTTAATGGACACGGGAGCCGGAGGCGTTAACTTCCTATTTCCTAAGCAATTAATGACGGGCGCCGTGTTATCATTTGTCTCCCCATGCTTTGTTGTGGGGATCGCTAACTAAGCGTGGCCTCGTTATCCGCCATGTCCGCTGCAACTCGTTGTCAGAGTTCTATAGGATTTCACAGCAAGATGGTGAAGTGCGGGGACCTTTGCAGGCGTCAACCAGTGAAGACATATGTATACTCGGCTGTTATAATCTAAGAGTACAGGCCGGAAGAGCCTTTAACAAAAGTGAAAGCAGAGCAGTGCATGCAAGGCGACGCCCGATCAAAAGAGTCTTTCGAATCATTACAGCCTCTTGCTGGAACAGTAACGTTGCAGGCAAAAGTGTTTGCTTTCCTTGGCAAAGCTCTTTCCGGATGTTTACGACACGGCAGTGGGACGTCTTGGTGGTCTGCTTGCTGTCTAGTCCCAGTCAAATGGACTCTCACCTTTTAGCTTATTGCTGTTTATTGGAATTTTAAATTTAATTCAATTAATTTTGTATGAAAATGCACCATAAAAAGAGTATATTATAAAATGAAAAAAAATGTTAAATGGGAATTTAGAATTTATCTTTATGATGACATTTTTCATAAGAATATTAAACAAATATAATTTTATCTTAATCTCTAAGGTCTCTCATCGCTCTGATTCTTTTCTCGCTTTCTATATCAGAGCTAATCTCAGTTGAAACGAGAGGAAGTGCCTTCATTTTTGCAAACCTTTGGGATAGAAGAGAGTGGCAATTATTCCGAGGAAAATTAATGTGTTGGCTGAAGACAGACCATTAGGACTTTGTTGATCGAAGTACAAACCATAAAAGAAACCCAATAAGCACCGCAAATACGTTATACATGGCACGAGATCTTTCTTATGGGACAAAACACATCGAATAAGCATATGCTATTAGAAAACATCGAGAAAGAACTTATGTGTTTTCAGTAGGAATATGGCTGGAGATCTGTCTCCTTCTACCTTCTTTTTCTTTCACTTTGAAACACTTATATGTACTAACTAGATACACCGGTATATATCATTATATATATAGTGTATAAAAAAATTTCTTACTTTCGAAACTGGCTTCGGGCAGGTAGCTGGAGATCTCTGTCTCCGTGCTGGATTCAATTCTAACACTTGGTTTTCTTGCTTGGTTTGAGTGATGCTGCTATTTTCTTTCCTGAATGGCCAAGTCATGTGGCAATGCTCGTCAGGGCAACGGTGTGCAGCAGGACTACCAAATGGTTTCGTCAGCAGTTTTGTGCAACTAATCTTTCGTCTTGGAGTGAGTAGTGATACAAGACTCTGTGCACCTGATGCTTAGATGAAACTAATTCTCCTTTGCATCTCTTGGAATTAATTGTCTTCTTTCCTTGTACAAACTTCACTTGAAATGATATGCAAGTTGAATCAAGCAGCTTTGCCCAACTTCAAAATGAAAAAGTTATATGCTAGTTGGCTCATCAGCTACAGAAATAAATACAGTTTAAATGAATCTTTGTGTCTCATCAACATGGTCTAGTGACGTGCAAGTGGACGAGTGTCATATCCTTGTTGCTGCGACTGATTCTGATCTTGTTGTCAATATACCTGGAAAATGTATCTAATGTTTATAATATGCAGGTGTAAGTACGTGAAAATGTACAACATATAATTAATAAATGAACGACAGACAAATGACCCTAAGTACATGGAATTTGTATTCTACTTACAGCAGCTCCAGGTGAAAGATGACTTCCATTTTTAAGGGAAGTTTCAATGCGCCAAAGCTAACAACACCATCATTCATTTGCACCATGAACAAGTTGCTTTCAGATGTTTCGCTGTGAAAGGTAGCATCCATAAGCATAACCATAGTATACCTTTGGAATTCTCAAGTACAGGCCATTGCTTAGTGGTTAAAAAAAAAACGCACACACAAACGAAATGCAGGACAAATGCTTTTAATTATGGCTATGAATAAATACACATTCTCTAAATAAAGAAAAAGATAATCAAACTTCATCATTGACATATCATGTTGAAAGAAACTACAAAAGAGAGTCAACTAGGAAAAGAGGTTCTTACCACTAGGGAATCTGGATATGACTAGTCTTACGTCTCTATAAGCATAGAGACTATTTTTATGAATAAAATTCTGATTATTTTCATTTGCTCCACTCCATTTTAATTCCTCCTTTTCCTTTTAATTCTTTGGTGTTCTTATCATGAATTTTATTTTGATTGCTTTGATTGCCTTTGACCCTTGATATGAACATTGGAGGTCATCCGCCTTTCCATTTTCTCAAATTATAAAAAAAAAGGAAAAGACATACTGGGATGTAAAATATAAAAAACACATAAAATTCATATATTTTCATTGTTCTCACTTGACTTCTAAATTAAAAGTCCCATGTTGTTGTTACTTAATCTTATAATTGGTCATGGAGGATGTATGCTTGGCAATGCAATTCAGCATATTGCTACCAGCAGTTTGTCGCAGAGAAAGACAAGATGTGGAAACATCAGTTTCATTTAACTCACCTAAGAGTGCCATTTGCACAAATCCTTAAACCAGGAAGCAGGTTAATCTGATTCTCCACCATTCCATCTTTCTTTAGAATCTAGAAAAGGCACCATATAAATTAATAAAAATAGAGAGCTACACCATTTTTTTCCCTATTTATAAGAAAAAAAAAGATATTTTTGGTATTTAGGATACACTTTCAAATATTATGTTAGCGCAGACCTGCAAACCTTTAAGACCACTGGCAACAACAGATGACCAGCTCTCATTTTCTGACTGTATGATGAGGAGGAACAATATCAGAAATCAATTATAAGTATAACGAAAGGATTTGGGAAGTCATGCACTGAAGAATGTGAACCAAAAGAAAAGCAGGATACTTTAAAAGTCAATGCATCTACAAGAGACAATTTTGCATATGCTATTCTCCTCGTGGTTCAGTCTATTATGCAGAATTAGGGTATGTGGAAGTAGAACAACAATTTTGCATTTGCTTATTTGTAACTACAAATAAGCAAATGCTTTGCAAGTGCACTTAATGTAGTGGAGAGTAGTCTAAAAAGGCAAATGGGTCAGGTTAATACTCTTTTCACTTTAGTCAAAAATTAAAAAAAATTATATGCTGCCTAGGCTAAGATGATAAGTGAGGAAGCTTCCGGTATAACAGAAGAAGAAACAAGTGCCTGTTGAGTTTTATTATCCCAATCAGATCTGTTAGCCACTTGATTCAAGTTAGACCATCACAAACTGCCCCTTGCCCCTTGCATGGTCAATCATACTGGACATGAACAAAGAAAATAACTCGATAAAGCTGCTTGAAGGGGTGTTCTTTTGAAACAAAGCCCACCAACTAGGTTGCTTACTTGCATTCCTAGCAAGAATAAAAAATATATTCACAATAGATGATGGGGGAAGAAAAATCTAAGTTCTTGTTCTGATAATACAGATGAAAGGAGGATCTTTCTTGTTCTGATAAATCAAATTTAAGGATTTTTCTTGTCCTCACAAGTTCAATAAGCCCCCTCACTAGTGTTCGTAACTTCAAATGTGAGTCAGTAAAACACACTATTTTAAGTTACAATTCTGTTTTAGACGAGAAACAGAATAAAAAAATGATGACAACATGACTCTTAAGGACCAATTCCAGCATATGCTTTGCATGAAATCTAGTATTAAACTATGCATGTACTTTAAAGTAGCAAGCATATATTACTAACTGCATTTCATGTTTCAAACTTGAAATGCATCTTTCTTCTTACTGACCAAATAAAAGGCGAAATAAGTCCTTATCTAAAAACCTGTGAAGCCCACAGTAATTGCCATTCGCCTTCCAGTATTTCTGAATTTGCTTTAACCTCCTCCTGATTTGAAGAGATAAGTTCATCTATCATCTGTTAATAAGAAGAAATAAGCAATTAATTTTTAAGTAATGGAAAGTTTTTTGTGAAAGTTACCAAGAGCATCAGAATGAATTTTCATATCCCAGACCTCCTTAACTCTTGTTCCAACAGATATTGCTGACAGCAACCTTTGTCTTGGTTCAATCTTCTTTTGCAGCACAAATGTCGTTCCCTGTGCTACAGTTTTTTTTTTTTTTTTTTCAAATATTTAGTTAAAAAAGGATTAAAATTTGAGTACTTCACCAATGCATTCAGTTTATCCAGGAAAAGAAAGTGAACAATTTAAAGTTTTTTAACAGAAGGAAGAACATGTGAGAGAAAGAAAAGTATATATTAGTTAAAAGGGATTAAAATGAAGATTTCAGGATATTTGGTTTCTTCGGGGAAGAAAATGCACGACTAAAACTTTTCTATCAGAAGGAATACATGTAAGAGAGTGAAGATATCCACATTTGTTAAAAGAGGATTAAAATTTGAGTACTTCACAAGTGCATTTGATTTATTCAAGAAAAGAAAGTGTTGTCTTAGACTAAAGAAAGAACATATGAGAGAGTGAAGATATACACATTACATATAAAAAATTACCTTGTTTCCTCTTGAAATACGTATGTTCCCAGTATGAGACAAGTATGTTGTATCCAACCATCCCTTTGCTTCATCACCGAGAAGCCTAAATGGTACAGGATATGGAACCTTGAAAGGTAAAAATTTAAGCGAGAATGCAGCACGATCAAACTGGAAAAGGATTCTTTTTCCATCTTTAATTGTTGCTGCTGCCTAGGAGTAAATTCAGCAGAATGATGAATGTCAGCCAAAGAAAAAGAAAACCTAAGTAGTTGAATGTCACCGTGAAAGCCAACAGAAAGATGTAACACAATATTGGCGGCAGAAGTATTTCAATTCATATTGATGAAAGAACACGATTAATAATAAAAAACTTCTGCTTTACAGAGCTAAAAGATGTGACAGGATCCACGTAGCTGAAGCCAAAGTATATGATCGAGACTTCTCATTTTCGTTAATATAGTTATGTAACAATAAAAAAAAAAGGAAAAGAGAAACTGAGCACAACATTAGTGATAAATCCATGCCAGACTGTTTACAGTGGATAGCTACTGCCTGTGTATTATTGCATATTGTAAAGGTTTATTTACATGTGGATCATCAATCTGGATGGTTTCATGAAGTGAGTTAGACATAGTATTTATAATCTAGTGTTATAAAAGATGCCCTTTATGAATAAGAAACGGTTGCATATGGAAAAAAAAATCATCATATAAATTTATAGGAATATGGTTGACTATCAGCACAAAAATAAAAAACCAGAATATCACATATCCAGTGCTTTTTTGTTGCTGATTAGAAGAAGGTATGACCCATGCTTAGTATAGGCAGATAAGCAATGCCAGGGACAGCAACAAGTAATAAATACATAAAGAGATATTCCTATGTCAATGGGCACTCCTCTGGCTATCACTTCTCGGTTCAGGCTCAAGATTGTTGCAACAATAGTTGAAACGTGAAACCATTTGATGTTCTCCCAAAATAATAATCCAATGCAAGTAAGTTTGTGGGATCATTATGTTGACTTAGTAGATTACAAAAGAAAGTTCCCAAACATGACGAAAAAGCAGATGGAGGGAATAATGGCAAACAATGGTCTCCTGTGGTAGAATCACAGTGGAGTAGATAACAGAGACATGTTTGTGTAGATTGCTAAGAACTACAAATATTCTGAGTTGTATAGATAATAGTACAATATCAACCTCATATTTTTAGAATCTTGCAAAGTTTTCTAATTCAAGTAAAGAGTTGCCTAGTATGTAACCTGAATCAAGCTTGTCACAACATAAAGAGAATAAGATTATTGGAAACAAATTTCATAAGTCTAGATCCCTTGAACCAATTATTTTAAATGCTAATATGGATGTGATGACAATATCATGGCTTAAAAGCAGTCGGAGGGAACAATGGCAAGCAATGGTCTCCTGTGTAGAATCACAGTGGAGTAGATAACAGAGAAATGTTTATGTAGATTGCTAAGAACTATGAATATTCTGAGTTGTATAGATAATAGTACAATATCAACCTCATATTTTTAGAATCTTGCAAGTTTTCTAATATAAGAGTCACCTAGTATGTGACCTTAATCAAGGTTGTTACAACATAAAGAGAATAAGATTATTGGAAACAAGTTTCATAAGGCTCGATGCCTTAAACCAATTATTTTAAAAGTTAATATGGATGTGATGACAATATCATGACTAGCAATAGAAACTGGATACAGTGGTACCTTTATGGTAGAGTTAAACGAGGACAAAAATTGACAATGTTATCTTGTTAATGAATATCATCTATCTATAAAATGTTCATGGTAGAGTTGAGATTTTTCCCCCCAGAATAATATAAATTTTGAAATAAATAATTCACCAATGAATATCTTTTCTGGGATCTCACACCAAGTGCAATTATGATTCAAGAGATACCCAAGTCAAAACCTCAACATAGCAATATTCCTCATTAATTCACCTCTTATTATTAGAGTTTCTGCAAGCATTAACTCTAAATTTTTATATATCGGTATTGGTAGCGAAAGAATTGTATTGCGCAGGTATGTACCAACAAATATGTGATGGCACACCTTGGTATACTGGTAAGAAGAGTACTTTAAAAATTATTTGATATGCAGCAATATGTACAGCAATATATCAATTATCAGTAGAATATCGGACTGGTAAGGTTGGTATACTGCACTATCTGAAACTACTTTAGAGAGCATAGAATATGATGTTTTTTGCAATATGTACAAGAGTAATTTGCGCAGATTAAATTATATAGCTTTGCTCATCGAACTGCATATTGTCTTATAAATTGTCTTTCCAGTAAAAATCCATTACTTAATATTTAAATAATTCAAACATCCAGTGTTGCACCAGCTTACCTCTAAAATTTTATCAGGGTTTGTGTAATTTCTGGAAACATTATCTCTTGGACTACAAGCATTTCTCAACGAAATCAATTTGACCCAATTGAAAAATATCAAAATTGCATTCAGTAACAATACACTTTCCATGTAAATGGAGCAAATATACTGTGAAATTTCTTTCATGACAGGTTGCCAAGTGACTTGTGCGAGCATGGAAAATATCATCAATGAAATTGCACTGGTGAGAGAGCATTTCATTTAGATATACAAATAACATAAAAAAGTTGTTAATTTAGATGGTGCAGACAGAAGCAGGTTCTTAAATAATTTGTGGAAATCAGATTTCCAGAATTAAATTTCAAACTGAAAAAGGTATGTGGATGAATGTGCTTCTGTTATGGAAGAAATAAAATGATCATACCTCTACTTTTAGCTCACCAACAGCATCCGAGAATTTTACAATGTTAGATACCCTTGGATCATCTGTTCTAAGGTAAACCTCCTGAAAGATCTTGAAAAAATCTACCCCAACAAAGGTTCTCTGTAAAAAATATTGAACCTTAGAAGAGATATTATAATTTCAGTAAGTAACAGAAGACCCTGAACGCGACATAGTTTCTCAACTAATTTGCAGGAATAAAAAAAGTTTAAATTACTGAGGTAGGTGGCCTTCTAAATACAAGAACAATGTCTTTCTACTAAATACAAGAACAATGTCTTTCTAAGCTTAAATATCAAAATCTGTTTGGTGCTTAAAATAAAGGATTACTAGGCTGGTAAGAGAAATAGTTATTTTTACAATAATATAATCTCAAACAGTAAGAGAAATTGCTATACTGATTGATTTTTGGTCTTTGTTCATATATTTCCAATTAGAAAACAAACAGTGAAATGCTAATGTGAATTTGTTTTTCCCTGATAAGCACATTTTTATCAATCCTCCTTCTATATGTAGTCTTAATTAAATCAGTAACTAATTGAGACTAGAATGTCTTCCCATCCAGAGGAAAGAATAGATGACATTTCTAATGTTAGAAGGAGCAATGAATCTTTATCATGTGTCATGAATGCTAGATAACTGCAAGATTGAGGAACTGATTTCTAATTGAAAAGTTATAACTCTTTGCAAACAAGCACTTTTTTAAGGATTCAAACTTGTCAATAGGAGTCCAGTTTGCAAGATTGGCAGGTACTGCCACAAATTAATGGTATAATGATCTTAAAATTGCAGAAAGTTGCTAACATGATCTAAATAGTTGACAAGATGCTATTGATTTGACAGCTTATTACATCAAGATTGATACGTCAGAATTATGTCACCTCTCACTTTTGATCAAGCCAGCTTCCATTTACTAGTCAAGCAATTAACTACCCCTACAGCATCCAAAACCACATATAAATGCATAATTATTTTTGTCTTCTGTTATGACATTATCCTGGCAGCTCCAGAACTTATACACACTTGACAACCATTTTGTTTCCAAAGTAATCAGTGCATATTAATACATTAAAAAGAACTACCATGGGCAAAAAAATTCTCTACATACCAAAGCAACGTTCCATTTAATCACCATGAGTCCACATTTCTTGCAAGTCCCAGTCATCAGTTAGTTTCTGTCAGTTTAAGTTTTATGAGTTTTATAAGTGGTACTATTGTGACTCAAAACAAACTGAAAGGTCAGGTTTTCAATTCCCTAAAATGTGCTTCATAGCAGCTGACTAAAATTGGATATATATATATATATATATATATATATATATATATATATATATATA